CCCTCACTTTTTGAAAAAAAAAAAAAAAAAAAAAAATTTTAAAAAAAATTTTTTTAAAAAATTTTAAAATTAAAACTTTTTTCAAAACTTTTTTAGTTTGGGATTAGGAAATTTCCCAATTTTTGGGGGCCAATTAATTTTTTTTTAAAACGTCACAAAAAAAAAAAAAAAAAACCCCTTTCAAAAATTTTTTAAAATTTTTTTTTTAAAAAATCCTTTTTGGGAAAATTTTTCAATTGGGTTTAAATTTAAACCCCACCCAAAAATTTCCCTTTTTTATTTAAAACGAACCTTATTGTTTAAATTTTTAAACTTTTTTTTTTCCCTTCCAAAAATACAATTAATATTTCCCCCCCCCCCCAAAAAACCCCCCAAAAAAATTTTATTAAAATTCTTTCTTTAACTTAATAGTTCTTTTTTTTTTTCCCCTTTTAATTTTTTAAAAATAAAATCTTTCCTCCTAATCAGCTTTGAAAATAACTAAAATGCCAACAAAGGGCAAAAAACCCTTTTTCCTTAAAAATTTTTAAAAAAAAAAAAAATTTTTAAAAAAACTAAATTCAATTTTAAATTAAAAAAAATTATTAAATTTAAAAACCCTGGGTTTCCTTTCTTTAAAAAAATGAACGGGAATTTAGTAGAAATTATTTCGGGGTTTTTTCTAAAAAGGCAAAATTTAAAATTTGGCGAAAAAGGACTTTTTTTTTAAATTTAGGGAAAAAAAAAAAAAAGGGGGGGGTTAAATTTGGCGTATATCCCAAAAAAAAATTTAAAAAGGGGGGGGAAAGTTTTTAAAATTTTATTTTTGGGGGGGTTTTTAACCAAAGGGGAAAAAGTGGGGGGTTTTACTTTTCAAAACTTGGGGGGGTTTTAAAAATTTTCCCATAAAAAAAATCCCCCCAAATTGGGGTAGGGGAAATTTTTTTTTTTTAAAAAATTTAAAAATTTTTTTAAAAAAAATAAAAATTTAAAAAAAAATTTTAAAATTAAAAAGGTTTTTTAATTTTTTGGGGAAAAATAAAACCCCTTTTCCCTTTTTAAAAAGCCAAAAAAATTTTTTTATTTAAAAAGTTTAATAAGATAAAAAAAAAAATCCCAAAATAAATAAATTTTTTTGGGGGGTTCTAATAAACAACGCAAAAAGTTTTTAAAATTAAATTTAAAATTAAATTTTTAAAAGAAATTTTTTGGGGGCAAATTTTTGGGTTTTAATTTTTGGGGGAAAATTTTTTAAATTGGAAATTTAAAAAAAAAATTTAAAGGTTTTACAAAAAAATTTTTTAAAATGGGTTTTATAAAAAAGAAAAAAGGGTTTAAAAAAAAAAAAATAATTAAACACTTCAAAATTTTAATAAAAAAAAAATTTTTTTTTAAAAAAAAGAACTTGGGGAAATTTAAAGCAAAAAAAACCCCCCCATTTACATTTACCCCCCCCAAATTTACCTACACTCCCCCCTAACTTTTTTACCCATTTACATTGAAATCCCCAACCCCCATTATTTTCCCACAAAAAACCCCCCCCATCCCCCTTTCCCAAATCTTCTCTCCCTCTACACTTCTCTCTTCCCAGGTGCATACCCTTTTATAACCCATTTTTACATCCAACTTAAATTTTCCCCCCATAATCCTTGAAATTTTTTTCATTTTTCCCTTTTTCCTCCATAGCTTATCCTTTAAAAATTTTTAAATTTTTTTTTTTTTTTTAAAACCCGCCCCCCCCCGGGGATACCCCAAAAAAAAAAAAAACCCCAAAAAAATACTTAAAAACCTTCAACCTTTCACCCCAAATTTTCTCCTTTTTTCAATCCAAAACAACAGCCTAAAA